AAATGTGACACTGAAGACTGGAGTAATGGCTGCTGAAAATGTAGCTTTGAATCACAGGAATAAATTACATTATAATAAAATAGAAACCTTTATTTTAAATTGCAATAATATCAAAATGTGACCACTGGCATGATGATAATACACCAAGTGTAGATGCTTTTTTATATTAAATGTACATTATGACGTTAAGCCTTTAATTTACTACCATTTCTTGCCACCAGAGGGCACTAATTTTGTTAGTACAGCAAGTGTTGTAATGAAAATCATGTTTACCTTGAATATTATTGATTTTAGTAGTTTTGTAATTTTTGTTCCAAACATATAGATTTTATTATAATAGCAGGTTATAGTAATTCTTTTAACTAATTCTGTTGTACTGAATAAGGATTTGAAAACTCATCTATATCCTTGCAGTTTCTATAGGCTACCTGTTCTTGAGAGAATTATTTGAGTTATTTGAGTTGTCGGTTTTAGGTCAGGGCACCCCGAGGACTACAAAATAACATCCATTTGAATGATTCCGTCATGCTAAGTTAAACATCTGCGGAAGAATGCGCTCACACTATCTAATTGACACCAGAGATGCCAAATAGACTTATATTTACAAACAACCACTTAAAACTAATAGAATTCATTTACATTTTTATGAGCTGTTCTATCTCGGCAACAGGCATCTGGGGAAAGCAGATGGGAAGAGAATTAAAGACTGAATAGAGGCATTATGAGCATCCACAGAGAGTGGGCCTAGGTTTATTTCTATTCCCCTCTCACAAGGACACTAGATGTTCCCGATAGCCCCACAGTAATGGCTGAATCGTATGGAAGAAGGGGTTCACGCAAGTCACCGGCCGAAAGAAGCAAAAGGAGTGGGATCGGACACAAAGGGAGTGGAAGGGGTGGTGCGGTCGGGGGCAGAGGTGCAGCGGAGGAGGCGATGCCCCTCTGAGTGCACTTAAGTGCTTAAACGTGTGGAGAGGAGGAACAGGCCACTCCTTAAATGAAAAGACACATGTATAGTTTGCTATCGCTCCCCTACTTTCCACAAAGAAGAATCGCATCGAGGCCATTGAAGTAATCCACGTCCAACGGGGCCCATATGGTCCGGCTATTTATCCGAACAGATTGGCGCTTTCCTTAGCATCAGCCGAGTGCTAATCCCCGCTTTCTTGAGGCTCACACAGAGCCTGTTAATGGGAAAGTGTCATGTGCTGGGCAGCCCAAGCCAACGGCAGGCGAAATGATGGGCAGCTCGGCCTGTCCCCACGTGACTGCCTCTCTCGTATTGATTCCCCTCCAATGTCTAATTCTATTAATCAGAGCAATTTCCCTGTGGGCAGTGGTTTATTTCACTCATCAAATGCCTGATGAAATCTTTAGACACCGCGAATTAGGGCCAATCACAACAAATAGCTGATAGTGTTAACCAGTCACAAGCTGCGCCGAGGCAGCGGTCCACTCTAATTTGAAAGCAAGTGAGGTGATAATGCGGTCTGTCATCCTTTTGTGGGCGCGCATTAATGCCGCTGCCTGAGATCGCAATTGACGGCAAATCGACTGCTTCCAAAGGCAGCAGAAGAAGATGAAATTGGGTTGATGCTGAAAATAAAGAACATTGACTGGCAAACTGTGGAGCGACTGCGGACTTTAATCCATTATTGCGACTGATGGGGAGGGCTTAATGCATCCCTGTCTTACATTATATTTGTATGAATCTCTGCTCTCAAAACTGGAGATATACATGAGAGAGCCTCTGCGTTAAGTGGCTGACTGCGCCTAATTGATTAGCCAAGAGAAAGGGTCAAGTTTGCTGTACGATATGGAAAATCTATAAACTATTGACAAATTATATGTGCATCTCAGATTCACCGACGCATGGGATTGGAGAAATTAAATGTAAGATTTCTGTTTCTTGTATTTGCAGACAAATATGGTGCCAGACGTGCAAACTATGTGCTCAAACACACACACATACACTGTAAATGCAATAATGGTTGCTTTTCTGTCACTCCAGCCTTATTTGTACACAAATATGTGTGCATATTTATATTTATTTTACATAAATACCTTTATAAGTAATATGTAATAATAATATTAAATAAATGTATATATTAAATCAGTGTAAAAATAAACTCCATAATATGAAATGCATTTATAATTATCACATTTATATACATTATATATA